TGTCTAGATTTCCATTTACTTAAGAGTTTATTCCTACGTATGAATATGCAATTCATATGTATTATGGGGCCTTACTGTAATTATGTTTCTATCTATACCCCGGCTGTAATTGCCCACTATTATAAATGCCCCAATCTCTATAAAACGCGTAAACTTTAACTCAAGTTCTAATTCTGGCCCGAACTTTTCTTTATCGCATAAAAAAAAGCACCAACTTTGTCTCATATCCCAATTTTGGCCTAATTTTTTTTGTGTAATAAAAAAAATCAACTTTAGCTCGTAGTCCAATTCTAGCTCGAAGCTTTTTTTTGTCTCATGAAAAAGTACAAACTTTCAGTTGGTACCTAAATATGACCCTTGTCAAGTTTCCGTCAAGTTTTCGATGAGTACACGTGCAATGACGCGCCAAATCTTTAGCAACATCATAAGACGAAAACTTAACACGAGCCGAATTTGGGTAAAAACTAAAATTTTGGGCTTTTATGTGAGATAAGAAAATGTTTGGGCTAGAATTGGGATTCAATGTTTTTATGAAACAGAAAAGTTTGGACCAGAATTGGGGAATGACATAAAGTTTATGCTTTTTTATGATAAAAAAAGGGCCATAATTGGAACCGGACCTAAAGTTGGTGCTCTTTAAGGAAATTAGGCCTATTATAAATACATATCAAGCAACTTTGATTAGGGTCAAACCATCATAAATACTATATCGCTACTCTCTCTCTCACTCTTCTACTCTCTACGTGACTCTGAAGTTCATCATGATATTAGAAGAGAAAAACTCATCAAATTCTTCAACATCTCTAAGCCAAATCAACACTTCCTTTGCTCCTATTTCTATATCAATAAAGCCAATGCATCTCAAATATTTTCTTCTTCTCTAACCTCTTTTCCCATCATCCTCGATTTTCGTCAACCCCAATTACCCATCCCCTCTCCCCAACATTGCACCCACTTTCACCACTTCTTCTCACTATCCTGCTTCCTGTTGCTCCAATTATAGTCTTGCCTTCAACCTCGTCACCTCTTGTTCTTCCCAACATCACAAGTCTTGTCTCCATCAAGCTAGACGCAGACAATTATTTTCTGTGGAAATCTCAGTTTGAGCCTAGTCTAATCCATAATGATATGCTAGATTATGTGGATGGTTCATTTTCGTGTTTGCTGAAGCTTGTCATTGATCATAATGGCGTTGTGGTGGTCAATCCCTCCTATTTCACTTGGATCAAGACGGATCAGTGCCTTCACAATGAGATCAATTTGGCCCTCATAGTTGAGATTTTCAATAAAGTTCACGACCTTTGAACATCTAAAGAGATTTGCTCGCTCTTAGACAATGCTTTACAGATCGCTATGCGGCAAAAGAAATTTGACGAAAACTTGATTTTCAAAACGTCGACAAGAAACCCGACTATTTCATGTCTAACTACTTTTGACATCTGAAGTCAATTGCAGGCTCTCTCACTGCAATCAATTGTTGAGTCTCCGATAAGGACTTAGTGATTCAACTCCTCAATTGGCTCTTGATTGAGTACGATCCCTTTGTCACCATGGTTACCAATGATCTAACATTGCTCCTCCTTTGGCGATCTATGGTCATGTCTCCTTATCTAGGAACAACGATGTCTTGACAAATTGACTGCCTTATCTTCATCTAATATTCATCATGCTTTGCTTGGCCATGCCACTTCACCCACTCCCCCTTTTCGAGGGACTCGGGGTGGATGTAATTCTAGAGGCTAAAATTCTAGTCAGGGACATGCTCGTGAACAACCGGGCTTGCAATCCTCCTTTGATCGGCTCCGTGCGCACTCATCATTGGCTCCCTATGCTAATCACTCCTGCAGCACCTTTGGCCAACCCCTTGGTGGTTAAAGGTCCTATGTTCCCCCAGTCACCTAAGGAGGAATTCTTGGCTCTAGGCCTCACCTTATTTGTCAAATTTGTAGCGGCGTCGGGTACACGCGCTACAATGCCAACATCGAATCAACCATGTCTTCACCGCAAATGATATCCCAAATTCCTTCTCAGCTCTCTCATTTGGTGAGACTGTGGTATCTTGACATCAGAATGTCAGCCCACATGACTAGTGACAATGGTAAAATTCTAATAAAAGTCTATGTTGGTGATGGTCGTTTTTGGTCTATTAAGCAAGTCGGCAAAGCCTTTTTACATACTGATTCTCGATCCTTGTTGTTATCTCCTGTGTGTCATGTCCCTAATCATCTTCTCTTGGTTTCTCAACTTTGCCATGCAAATTCATGTGCTATTGATTTTAATGGTTCATCCTTTCCTATGAAGGATCAATGAACGGGAAATGTTCTCCTCCAAGCTGACTGTTCTCATGGACCAAAGCATTTCGAAGAGAGAGGGAGAGAGAGATTAATGCCCTTTCTAAGCTATTTTAGTGATATTAATGCCCTTTCGAAGCTATTTTAGTGAATTCAGATTCATGAAATGAGCCAAACAAAAAAAGAAATAAAAAGACGAAAATGGAATGATATGTGAAAAAGCCGTTTGATTCGGTTTCCCTTTTGAATTACACTGTAATTCATTTTAATTTTTGTTTTCCTTAACCTTATTAACATTGTTTGTTTCGGCTAGGCTTTGTGTCCGAATTGGAGCACGCAGCAATGTGCTCACTCCTTATCGTCGATGTGCTAGATTCCAAACTGTCTCTCACCCTTAACTTAGAAATAAACAAAAAGCCATTCATATATATATTTGGTCAGAAAAACTCTTTCATTCATTAGCGAGCAGTGCGAGAACAAAATATGAGTTTCTGGAAACAAAATATTCCAAAGAGGCAAATGGGGTGTAGTTAACCAGTTTAGAAGGAGGGTCTTTCTACGATGGGCTTTGGCGACCCAATCTGCAAGTTGATCGGCCTCGCGGGGACAATGGATGAATTTCACAGATTTCAGCCGGGCCAACTACTTATGATATACTTTGATAATATCGCGTAAAGCCCATGGATTTTCAGTTTTACCCAAAACTCCGTCCAGCCACGAGCCGTCAGTGTTGAGCTCAAGGAACCCTCTGGCCGGCGGCGTCCACTGTTTAGGTAAGCTGGTTCGACTTTTACCTTGATTTCCTGTTCCTGGGTTCCACCTTATGAAGTTTTTGTTCAATGCGAGAGCGACATCGACAATTGAGCTCGGATTGGGTTTATTATTATTTTTTTCGTATTTTATTTTCCTTTCTTTTTCTTTTTTTTTTTCTGTGCGCCGACCGCAAAGGCCTTGCCTAGGGCAATGGCGGCCTTGCGAACCGTAGGCAAGGGCGCAAAAGCTTTCACTAGATTTGGGCAAGGCTGCCTTGCCCACGGCCAGCGAGGCCCTGATGGCCCCCTTTGTGCCCTCGCTAGATTTAAGCAAGGTTGGCAACGGATTTTCTGACGAGGCAAATTGTCGATGGCACTTAAGTGATTGATTTTTTAAATTTTTGGCATTTTAAGTCATCGATTTTTAAAAATTATGGCACATAAAAGAGTGAAAAAAAATTACAAAAATTATCCACGTCGGCGCCAACAATGCCACGTAGGACGACCGGCGTTTACGTTGGATTTTCCAGCAAGGCAAATCGCCGATGGCACTTAAATGATGGATTTTTCAAATCTATGGCACTTAAATAAGCGGAAAAAAAACCCACTTGCGCACGGCCGAGTTGGTGGGTGCTTTCCTTCCCTCCCCAGAAGTTCTGGGTTCGAATCCCCGCTCGGCTCCGTAATTTAAGTGGGGGGCCCCGGCAGTGGGTTGCTGGGCTAGTCTCCCCCGAGGTATAGGCGTTCCGATTACCTGTGCGGGCTCATCCCCGGGGAATGGTGGCGGATCCTCGGTTACCAAAAAAAAAATAATAAGCGAAAAAAAGATTATGGCACTCAAATGAGTACAGTATGAAAGTTATGGTACTCTAACTGTTGTTATCCTTATTCTTGTCCATAGGGTTCTAGGTGGCTGAAAAAAAATTAAAGGTTGGTTTGAGTTGAAGTGAAGATTTATGGAACACATTCTGTTATAATCATTTTTTACTGTGTAGGACCCTGATTTGTTCCCGATCCAAACTAGTTTGTCTGCTTTCGATGTCAAACTGATTGGTATGGAAAGAATCTCTTTCACCATATGCTCTTCGAATATTTTAGTTCACCTTATGTTCATTTTCCTCTCTTGTACTAAGTACCGGATCTTTAGAGATCTCTTTTGAGATTATACTGTTTAATTTTAACACAATCGTTCGACCTTTTTCCTTTTGAGCTGTAATCAAGCTGTAAATATGTTGCTAAACCGACAGGCTTGTCGCAGCTGTTGGATTCCCGACGATTCTTCGACTGTCAGGTTCGAGAGAGGCAAAGGCAGAGAACCTGAAGATCGTCCTTGATAGAAAATTCTCGTGGTTTACCTTTTTCTTTTCCTTTTCCAATGGGCAAAGTACAAATTTTTTAATAGCAAACGAGAGAGACGTGTGCCTGCCTTGGATCCTTAATGTTGATTATCGATGATACCTCATCAAAGCAGGGAAAGCAAAAGCTTCCGATTGAGGCCACCCCGCTTATTCAGGTATATATACACTTTGCGGTTTAATAGGATTACGTTCCTTATTTTAATGTGTCGGTGTTTACACACCCATATCCCCAAGTTGGGGGATTTATTTTTCTTCCTTCACCCCAGAGAATACCCCCGTATTTAACGTTTTAGAGTTCAAATGAAACAGTTTAAAGACATGCTTAGGTCCATCATGGTTTGCCTTTTTCTTTTCGTTTTCCCAGTGGAAAAAGAAATGGGCAAAGTGCAAATTTTTTAAGAGAGAGAGAGAGAGAGAGACAGAGAGACAGAGAGAGACAGAGAGAGAGAGAGAGGTGGCCTTGGCCTTAACAAAGTAAATGTGCAAAGCTTTTTAAAGAGACATTTACATTGGGTTGGGGCAACATTTTTTATTCTAGATTTCCATTTCCATAAAGAATTTATTCCTACATGCCCCCTCGCATCCGTTGATCTTGTTCTTCAGGCTCCTTGAGACCACAACTTGGAAATTTGCTTCCCCAGCCTCTCCCAACAGGCGAAGATATTGTTGCTGTTTCGTGCGAAACACCGCCGCAATTTTCCTGACATATGTCCGGCCAGTCCACAATGAGGGACATGATCAGCCATTATAAACATCCTGAGCTTCTTCATCTTTTTGAACGAGTCTGCATACAAGATCAAGTCTTCTACATCAACCTTGTCTAATTTGATGCCTTCAATGGTGTCTGTTCCCTGTCAGAGCGGAATAAAAATGATTATGCATATCCAAAAACAACAGGTCTAACTCTAAGAATAATGCTTGAATACGTAAAAAACTGTCCTAGTCTAAGAACCATTACAACACTAGCAGTTTTTAAATGAAGCTACATTCATCTTATGATGAAAGGACAAATGAGAGGACTTATGCTAGGTTATATCGCCATTGGTTCCTTAATAATTACTGTCATTTTAAGGAGAAATTAACAAAGAACGAAATAAAGATCCTAAACTCTAATTGGCAAAAATAAAAATTACATACGTGATTCTCCTATTTATGCAATCTAAAGTTTTCTATACTTGTTAATGCGAGGTCCACAGAATAAACATATACAAATTAGGAGATGCATAGGCTTTTACCGAATTTTGTCTAACCACTTCTAGGGCATCCTCATGACGCCATATTCTGCTTCGTTTGCTAGGATTTTCAGGGCACTCTTGAGTCACAATTCGTCTACCCATTTCTTGAAGCAAATCATGCATCCGTATTTTGTCGTTTTCATCGATGTATATTAACGATTTTTTAGCCAGAATCTCAATCCCACTATCGGCATGCACACCGCATTGGTCTAGGGACTTGATGATCTCTTCTTTGTCATATCCATTAAGAAAACACGCGATGTCGAGAAAAATCGTCCTCTCATTGGCCTCTAAGCCATCGATAACAATTTTCAGTATTTCATGACCTTTTCCCCGAGGGATTTCTTTCAATTGATCAAAAACTCCTTGCCATTCTTTGACACTTTTGCCATTCAAGAAAGAACCCATCACGGTCAGAACCAAAGGAAGCCCTTTGGAAAAACTGGTGAAGCAATTTGAGAGCATCTTATAATCACTTTTGGGATATCTTTCTTGGAACGCACTCCAACTGAAAAGCTCAAGAGCTTGATCATCATTCAGTGCTCTTACCTTATAGATTTCCCCACATAGACCAATTAAGGTTTCTTCGTGTCGAGGGATCAAAATGACTCTACTTCCCGAGCCCAAGTTTATTGCCTGAATCATATGGCTCAGTGGCCCCGACAACCCTTCAACATCATCAAGCACCAGCAAAATGCTCTTGTTGTGAAGCTTACTCCTCATGAAGTTTATTACTACATGAGTATCATTGCCAAACTCTAAAACTCCATCGCCATGTATGTCACTAAAAGGGGTGCCCTGCATTTTGAAGAGGCCATCTTGGCTCAATATATCTTTCACGTTCGTGAGAAAGCAACTCCAATCAAATTGATCTGCAATTCGGTGGTACAAAGCTCTCGCAAGTGCACTCTTTCCTATTCCGCTAGAGCCAGAAATTCCCACGACTCGGACCTCCCCAACATCTAATTGGAGTAAGGAGTACAATGCTTGTAACTGAGAATCTAACCCAATTGGATGAAAAGCAAGCAGATTTGCATGTAAGCGGCTCAGTCTTCTTGAGATTTTCTCCGCAACGGATTGGATGAATTCAGCTTCAAGTCTACAAATGGTCACCAACTAAAGGTGTGACTTTGGTTATTCGTGTTGGTAAAAGATGAGGAAAAGATCAATAAGATTATATTCTTGTACTTAGGAATATCGTCCATCTAGTCTAATTTAATATCAAATATCATAGAAAATAGTGGTGTGTGAGAGGTTAACCTGTGCGTGCGGGTAAGCAAGCGGCAGTCTTTCTTTCATAGTAGAATAAAGAGTTTTTTGGACATCTTCACGTCTTTCAAAACATCGCCTACATTTTTCTCGAAAAATTCATTTTAATTATGAGACTAAGATATTCAAACCAACCTCCCTCCTCTTTTAAAACTAAGCCTGTTGGTCAAACATCCCAACATTACCTGGGTCGACAATAAATATGCCATATTAACTGTGTAACCTTTACATGTGTCGACCATAAAATATGCCATTTAAACTATCTCAACAGTAAAATATGCTAATTGTCAACGTAAATTGTATTTTGACTTAAACGTCAAGGTTATATCTGTTGACTGCATGAGATAATTATGGGTTAAGTCTTGGGTTGCCCAATATTCCTTCTTTTCTTGAATCGGAGTCTCTAAGTTTTTTGAATTTATTTTGTTTTTTGATCCGACTTTGGTCACCTTTGGATTTTTCATCGATTAATTAGGGTTTGAAATAGCTGACCCTTTCTGAAGCTGAGTTCAGATTGAATTGGTTTTTAACTTTCGTCGGATGACACCCCCCCCCCACCCCCACATCTCAATTTCCTTAAGGGGTTGTGTGTTTGAACTCTATGGCTCAATTTTTTGCATGTTGTATTTTTTTTTTTGTTGAATCTGGCTCTTGTATGTATAAGCAATACATTTAACAATTACAAGAGTGTGATTATCTCTACCACCCTACTCAAATGATGTGCCTTGATTTCTGGTTTTTGGCTTGTTTTGGAGCTTTGTGGGCTTGCTTTGTTATTGTGACTTTTGAGATTTCCTATCATGTATCATTTTGGTAATGAATGGAAATTTATTTTGACCAAAAAAAAACAATTACAAGAGAAATAAGTAGTAAGGAAGATTTCGACCAAACAAAAAACTGTAGGATAAATTTATCTTTTCAAACTCCCAGCAAACTCTTTTGCTATTTCAATAGCGGATGCTGCCCTTCAAAAAAACCATGCTAAATTTGAGGTTGACATTCCGAAAATAACATTTTATTGGTTATGCATATATGTACAAAATCTTATATATACAAACAACAGAAAATCTTTTGGCTAATCGTTTAAGCAACAAATTAAAAGAAGGGGGATAGAAATAAGTTAATGAAATATACTCACCGAAAAAGAGGTTCAACTAAAGAAAGTTACTTGGCCAAAAAAGGAAATAATACGGAAAGGTGAGAGAGAGAGAGAGAGAGAGAGAGAGAGAGAGAGAGAGAGAGAGAGAGAGAAGAGAGAGAGAGAGAGAGAGAGAGAGAGAGAGAGAGAGAGCAGGCAATACAAAGATAAAAGAGAAACGAACTGGAGGCTGAACTTTCTTATAAACCCTAGCTGGTACCACAGTCCAAACAATACAAAGACTGACAACAGCTTTCTTTTCTTTTCTGTTTTGCCTCAGATAGATCATTGAAGGGAAGGGTTGCATCACAACTAAGGTTTACCCTGTATTGGCTGTGGAAGATGTCCGGGCTTGCCCATTTTCGTTCTTTCTAATATTAACGAAAAGAAAGCATGAGGCTTATAACCTCCTACAGAAAACGAAGGTCATATTCAACAGTGGGACTCAGAGTTGGAAATGATGCGTGAACGAAATGGGCACCGGCGAAAATCATTGTTCAGTAGAGATTTCTTTATGCTTGAGGGAAGAAGTGAGGAGAAGAAATTCATATGTTTATCAAGTTATGAAATACAAAATATGAAATGAGCGTTACAACTGGAAAAAAAGGACATCCATCAATTCCTTTTCTATTCCTTTAACGTTTAACAAAGGTTATTTGTCGTTTTATTGGGCTGAACGATTCTAATTTGCTATATATGGAGGAAATCAGCATGTGCTGGAACATATGCTTCGGGGGTAAAATCTGATAAACGCTAAGAGAAGAAATGAGGGTTATAGAAGATAACAGACTGAAGCGTTGATGTTAAATCTCTTCGATGAGCCAAACAGTTGAGTTGGAGTCCTATTCTAGGAAAGTTTGTTTCCTAGTAGAAGGATTCCAAACATTTCCAAATATTCCTACTGCCCACAGACCAAAAGATTGGGCTTTAAGAGCAAGTTTTGTTGTTTCATGGACAAACTTACTAAGTTCCTTTAGGAGTCCTCTCAAGAAAACACTCAAGGAAGAGAGAAAGTTACTACCTATTACCAAGAGGCCAACCGGTGAGATTGCCAGCTTTGCGGAGAGCATCTCTCCACCTAAGGACCTTGTCGGCATTCTCCTGCCCTAAACCCTTCTCGCTTTGGCCAATCTGCGTGAATGGTCCGGACTGCTCGCGCATCTCTCTGGGGTCAATGTCTACGAAGATGAGGAACACCAGCTGACCTTTCTTTTCCTTGCACTCGAGGATTTTATCCAGCTTGTCTAGGCACCACGGCGAGGAGGCGTAGTTCTGAGAAATTACCACGATAGCGCTCCTCGACCGCTCAATCGCTTCATTGATTGCCGGTGCAATCTCTAGTCCTCTTTCCAGATTGTAGTCGACAAAGGCCCTTATCTTGTTCCGCTCAAGAGCGTCGTAGAGATGGCTCACAAAGTTGCACGTGTCGGCCTGTTTATAACTGATGAACGTATCGTGAACCCACCGAGGGATGGAGGAGGGGGGAGAGAAGAGTTGTGGCCTGGCGGTTAGGCTACGTGGGAGAGAAGAGAAGTGGCGTGGAAAGAAAGGGGTCAAAGAGATGGGAGAGACTTGCAATTGGAATTGTGATGCTCTCTTGTAGAGGACGCTTGAATACGAAGGAGGAGGAGAAAAAGGAGGGAAAAAGTTGCGCTTGAGATGGCCAAATTGGATCATCATCTTACTAGAATTTGCCATTGAAACACCCCCAAAATCAAAGTAAAGAAAGAGCTGTACCGTACATTCACAATGCAAGCTCTCTTTACCTATTTATAGCACATTTTGAGCCCTCTCTCTCCCCCTGCTCATTATAATAATTTTTCGCGTTCCATCTCTCCAGGCTCACCGGAGCCGGGCTCGTTATAATATCAATACCGCATGGCATCTCTCGCTGATCTCACGCATCAAATTCTATCATTATAATATTTCGCACTCAATAGGACAAAATCCAACCTTACATTGGCTCGAACCAATTTAGTGCGCGCAAGGTCAACACCTCTTTATTGTTATTACTAAATTAGCAAAATAAACCAATTAATTAAGCAAACAAGAAAGAGCTTCTCAAATAATGTGGGAAAAAATAAGGAAAAATGACACGAATAATCCCTAAACTTTGGCTCAATATAAAATGTCGTCCTTGGACTTTTAATTTGTTTCTGAGATCCCTAAACTATTGGTAAATGTTAAAATATGTCTCGGGTTTGAGTCCATGAACGAAACCCGGTCCAAGATAAATGATAAGAAAACCCGGTTGATTAAAGGAAAGTTAGAAATTTGGATTTTTGTGGACGTCGGAAATTGAGTGAAGCAACATACGCTAACTTTCTATTCCGAATTGGGGTCGACGAAGGAAAACACAATAGGAAAGTCGCACGTGCACCTTGTTTCCTATTCTGACTTGATTACTCTTCTTTAACCGATTCTAAACTTGGACTTCTCCGGCGGTGGTCTGGTTGATATATAAATATATTCAAGGGTATGGTATTTAGTGCTCTTAGTTTTGCATGCATATTGCAAGCGTGCCGTGATTGTGCAGAGCTGGATCTCGTTCGTGTTGTTGGAGTTTTCGTGCAAAATATTGGAGAATCTTTCAAGAGTTGCATCCAGATTAATTGGCGTTTGATAGCCAAAATCTTGTGGTAAGAATATGTGTATAATTCCTTCGCGAGATTGAGAGATTATTTCGTGAGTAATTATGGGATTAAACACTGCGTGAATTATTTAGTGTAATTAGGGCTTGGGAAACACCGATAATGTTTAATTGACTCGAGTGTAGTTGTAATCTTCGTTGTATCATTTGATCTATTGTGGAATTTCGTGCTGCTCTCTCTGTGGACGTAGGTCACTACGACCGAACCACGTAAATCTGGTTTTCGATTTAGTTTCTTGTTCTGTCAATTTTATTGTTAGATTGCTTGCTTTTGCTACGGTTGGTATCAAAGCTAGGCTTAGCTAAGTTAAAGTGAATCGATGGCGATAGAAGAAGGAAAAATGAAAATCGACAGATTTAACGGGAAGTATTTTGGTTTCTGGAAGATGCAAATTGAGGATTATTTCTATAAGATGAAACTGCACTTGCCCCTATCAAGGGAGAAGCCAGAGACAATGAAGCAAGCTGATTGGAAATTACTGGATGGACGAGCTTTGGGTGCTATTTGGCTGATGTTGGCTCGTAACGTCACGTTTAATATCGTGAAAGAGAAGACCACTGCGAGTTCGATGAAAGCTCCGTCGAATATGTACGAGAACCCTCTGCGATCAACAAGGTTTATTTGATACGGCGTCTGTTTAACTTAAAGATGGGCGAAGGTGTGTCAGTTGCTAATCATATTAATGAATTTAATGTGATCGTTAGTTAATTGAGTTCAGTTGAGTTTGACTTTGAAAATGAGGTACGTGCTTTGATTCTATTAAACTTATTGCTTGATAGTTGGAATACTACTGTTACTGCTATTACTAATTCATCTGGGTCAACAAGTTTGACGTTTGATGGCATTCGAGATTTGATTCTGAGTGAGAACATCTATAGAAGAGAATCTAGTGAATCTATATCTGTTGGAATCGTAGCATTGTCTATTGGAATTGTAGCGTTGTCTGTTGGAATTGTGGCAAGAAGGGGCATCTTAGAAGGGATTGTTTTAACTAAACAATGACAATGGTAAGGGAATTAGAGTTGAGTTTGCGGATGATGTTGCAGCTATAGCTGACAGTAATTCGGATAGTGCTGATTATGTCTTGTTTGTCACTGATTATTCATCATTTGATAGATAGATTATGGATTCAGGTTGTTTGTTTCACGCTACACCAAATAGAAACTGGTTTATTACTTATCAATGCATGGATAGTAGTAAAGTGCAGTTGGGGAACAATTTTGAGTGCGATGTTATAGGTTTTGGTGATGTTAAAATCAAAATGCACGATGATATTGTGAGGACATTGATTGAAGTGAGGCATGCTCCAGAGTTGAAGAAGAACAAATTCAGCTGGATGTCGGTATACTTCATATAGCGGAGTTCTGAAGGTTATTTGGGGTGCCTTAGTGATAATGAAAGGAAATATGCACAATGGCCTGTATGAACTTCTAGGTGAGATAGTGATAGAATTCGCGTGGAGACGTCGAATGCATTGGTTCGAGAGTCTGAATTGTGGCATATGCGTTGAAGGCACATTAGCAAAAGAAGCCTGAAAGTTTTAAGTTAAAGAAATTTGTTGTGTGGTTATGTTACTAACGAACTGAATGTATACAGGTGCTGTAATTTAGATCAATGGCGAAAAGCACAGTTCAGTACAACTATCAGAGAAATCACGGATACTGCAGAATTAATTCACTTGGATATTCGCAGGTTGTCACGGTTTCCTTCAAGGAAAAGTATTAGATTACAGTTATAGATGACTACTTGAGGAAGACTCAGGTATTTGTGCTAAGACACAAGTTTGATGTTGTTGTTAGGGTCATGCAGTTGAGAGCTTTGATCGAAAAGGAGACGGGTAAGATGATCAAGTATGTGCAAAATGACATTAGCATGGAGTTTTACTCGAAACTGTTAAACAAATTCTGCATGAAAAAAGGCATAATGAGACACCACACTAGTGCCAGTGAACCACAACATGTTGCAGACTTGATGAACAGAACATTACTAGAGACAACCCATAAAATGTTCTGTAGTGCAGGTATGGCTAGGAGAATTTTAGTGAATGCGCTTAGTACAATGAGCTACCTAGTGAATGGATCCCCATCGACTATGATTGGATGTCGAACTCTCGAAGAAGTGTGGTCAGGTAATGTTGCTGATTATTCTATTCTAAGAATATTTGATTGCCCATGTGATGTTCGAGTTAGTGATGGTAAAACTCGATGGGAGGGCAAGAAAGTACATGTTCCAAGGTTATGCACAAGGTGAGTGGGGTTATTGGTTGTGGTGCCCGAAATTAAATTCGCTTGTTGTCAGCAGAGATGTTACATTTGACTAATCTCTAGTATTTGGAAAGCTTACAATAAACCTAGATACTCACGAAATTTTGGGGTGAGACGAGCTAATTCAAAGAAATTATACTAGCATAGAACTTTTAACATGAGTTCAGTGTGTGTACACACACACACAAACAAACTCATGTGAGGTTGATTCACGTGGCACACACGTGTGCCAATTTTATCCAGCGATTTGCTTTTGATAGTCAGTTTAGCGTACCTCTAATGCTAGCTAATGTCTAATCTTAGCAAATATTTAATTCCGCATATCCAATTCTTTTGCATACTTTGATAAAAATTTCTATTGATTTTCAAAAAGTAAGTGTTTAAAGAAATTATTTATATGTATATATATTCAGTTTAATTATTTATCTATATGTGATCTATTTTGAAATATATATATATATATATATATATATATATATATATATATATATATATATAATTAGATGAACGATCAAAGATATCCGACAGGTTATAATTCCATGTGCCTCACAATTTAAGTGGACAAAGTCCTGTATCTGGTATATTTCCAATTTTATACTTACTAAGAATAAAGTCATACATCTGCTATCATGCCTATCATGGGTATTCTTTATATATAGATTATTTTGATTATCAAACCGTTCATCTGAAGAACATCTATAAAGAAAAATCACATGGTCAAAAAGCTTTTCCACGATGAAAGTTACATTACATGATTGCACGTACTTTGTAATAAATGTTTAAAAGTAATTGTTTATATATAACTAGATTCTATTATGAAAGATCTCTATGTAACTAATGAATGATAAAAGATTTATGGTACGTTTAATTCCATCTATTTCACAATTCATATAATCGAAGTCTTATAACAGGTATGATTCAAATTTCTTTATAGTTCACACGAATAAAGTTTACATTTGGTATAATTCTTATCACCGAAATTTTGTATATATAGATTTTTTCTAAATAATTGCTCATCTCTCATTCCATGATGAAAGTTATCTTACACGATTGCGCGTATTTTGGCAATAAACGTTGATTATATTTCGAAATACCTGGAGGCTGGATGTTTAAGCTAATGGAAAAAATTTCTGCATCTAAATTATAAAACAAAAAGCTAAAAAAAAGTAATTTTTAAAAAGTTATATTCCAAGATTGAACATATTTTGGGACTGAATGTTAAAAAACAAATTGTTTATGTATGTGTGGATTAAATTTTGAAGTATCTATAGGCTGAAATTTTAAATTGATCAAATCATTCTATAGATAGATCTTTGGTAACAAGGTAGGGAAACATAATGCATAGTAATTGTTCAAATACTTTGAGGAAATACATTCAGTATCGCATTGGCCCCACTACAACCAACTATAATGAAGACATACACCCTCAAATCAAATTCATCAATCACTGATCTTGTTCAGTATATTCGACTCCATCCCAAATGTCCTCGGGACAAAAGATGCTTGGTCCATAAGTGGATTTAACCATCCGGTATAGTAGGGGAAGCTGTAGGACTACGAATAAAGCCACGGGGAGAGAGGCCAGCAAAGTAATGGGAATGAGAACCCACTCCACTCTTTTATCCAGCACAATTGCGAGAGTTGCAGCGAAGGCCACCAGCATGAAAGCCAAGGAGAGGAAGAGTAAAGAGAGACCCATTATGATCTTCTTAGGCAACGATTCGAGAAAATCTTGTGGCTCATACCGTGATGTTAAGATGGCTAGGAATAACAAGATGGCCGT